CTTACTGACCCCAAGCTTTTGAATGGTAGTGTATTTATCTTATAGGGCCTGTATAGGCTTATATGTGCATACTGTACATACATATATGCATACTAACATATCTCCAAAAACACCTTAGGTAGTTTTAGCACATCTTATTTTAAACCTGAGCCATTCAGAACTGATTTTCAATCCCAGAAACCCCCTGGAGCACTTGACAGCAACAGAAGCATCTGGTGACGGCGCACCAGAAATCCCAGTAGCCAACAAAGACAGTGGCTGCGCTTTAGGGTCTATCGCCATGCCAACCATGTCTTTCCAGGATTATCTCAGCATCTGGGTTGGTTTACTCACATGGAGGCAATCCTCTCTATTAATCCACACAAGCTGAGCTAACCAAAGGTTAAAGAGCCAACCGCAAATTCACAGATGGCGTTCCCTATTAGACCAACAGTATGCTGATTCATAAACCAATTTTGAAAATGGCCTTTTGGTTAACGCACATGTCCCGACACAATGAGCTGTGCTGCTCGGCTTTCAACGTGTCTTCATCCTGCTACCTATCATTTCCTGTCTTCTCTCTTCCGTCTGCAACATTATAGAGGGAAAAAAGGCAAAAAAAAGAACCAGTTCATAAAAGTATGTTCTACACAAATCTGACTGTACTGGCCGTGCTGAATATTTGTTGTTGCGTGCAACCAGTAAGGACAGTTCAACAGAAAGATGTGTTGTCGGCTCCCAGTGTGTCTCTTTCGTTACATCCAATTCAGACTGCAAGCACAACTCAGCTAAAACATAATTTCCTTTGCTGTGACGCTGTAGATTCAGTAGCAGCACAGCTGAGTGATGCAGGAGCCACAGTCAGAGTATTTTAGTGCAACATTTCATCCTTATGTAGACATGAACCAGTAATAAAACCTAATCTCATGAGAATAATTCAGTGATACTTTGTGTGAGATGCTGTGCTTGTCTCTCACATTTTTATTCCAGAAGATCTGCAGTAACGTGTCAGAGTCCATCCCAGAGGAGCAAATCAAAATAATATGTACAAGAGAGAAATAAAGAGAGAAGATCAGATGGATGGTCAGGAACAATACACTGTCCATCTCTAAAGGTATATATAGATAATTCATATAAAAAATGATGGGTGGAAAATTAGAAGCCCAAGCTAGAGTTTGAAAAACTCACTAGCGATGGATACTGTACTTTGCCACATAAATGTTATAAAAAAGGAAAATATGAAAGGAATAAACAGAAGCTGACATTCAAAGTTTTTGGTGAGGATCACTGCGGTGTCTTTGGCATCACTATGTATCAGTTTCACTCAAATCACATCACTGTCTTGTATGCTCATCTGCGGTTGGCCACTTCATAAATAAATCATAAATAAATAAATAAGAGCATATAAAACAGCTGAAAGCACTGCGGGATCCAGCCTGCGATGTTTACCAGCCTGATGACTCAAACTGACTCTGACATTTATGTTTGTTAAGGAAAATATATGTGTGTTTATGCGAGGGGAAGTTAATTGTGCCTCTGCAGAGTCCAGTAATAAGCATAAACTTAGAGAAAATGCAATTGGAAAAATTTTGTAATAAGTGTACAGTAAGTATCTGTGTGTGTTTGTGTATGAAACTGTTTATATTTTCATGTGAACTCTGCATTAGCACTCCCCTACATCATCAGTCACAGTAATGAAATTCCTGTGGTCTCAATTTCTCATGCACATCTGTATAACTGTGCTGGCCACATGGTTGCTCTGTTTTTAATTGTCTATTTTATTTATTGTTGATAAGGCCTAATAATGTGTCATCGAGAGAATGAATGTGTAGCTTTTTTCAAAAAACTCTGGCCCAATACTGCCCCCAACTGGAGACATTACACACCATGACTACTCATCTACAGACTAAACTTCTAGATGAGATGAACTGGAAGAGGGAAAAGAAAGTCTGTTAAAACTCTGAGATCTGGATCATATGTGTGACGCTAAATAACAGTCAAACATCGTCATACAGCAGTAGTGCCTCATGTGGTGAGTATACAAGGAGATATTCACTACAAAAAAGGTCCAATTTCAGATATCTAATAGTTTTGCGCTTAATTTAACTAATGTATTCCTCATACAACTGTTTGAAGCCAAAAGAAAGACACACCTTTGTACGTTGCAATATTGCTCTATCCATAATATTGAACCAGGAGAGAAATATGCACAGATTAAACACTGTTTACAAGCAAAAACAGTTCTGAACATGTTGGTGGATTTTTGTGAGAGGACAACGGGAGATGGATTTTTTCACTAGAGGAAGCGTTACTATGGGTTTTGGACTCATATTATGGCCAGAAGCATAAGGTTTAAATAAAAAAATTCCTTAATGATGGATTATTTATTTATTTATGTATTTATTCTTATTACAAACACACAGTTTCTTGCTTCAAACAACGTTAATTGATGGATTGTGTGGTTTTTATCAGCTGTTTGGATTCTCATTCTGATGGCACCCATTCACTGCAGAGGATCAACTGATGAGCAAGTGATGCACAGTACAGTAATGCTTCTCTGTTCAGATGAAGAAACAAACTCATTTACATCGTGGATGGCCTGAGGCTGAGTATTTTTTAAAGCAAATGTTCATTTTAAGTGAACTGTTTCTTTAAATAGAATTGGATATAGAATCCAAGTGTTGTTGTTTTTTTGGCACAAGTATCTCCGGAGCTGTACAGGTCTCCCAGCATTCCCCACAGGATGAAAATAAACCTTGCGTTCACAGTATCTCTGCAAAACACTTCCAAAAAGGTCTGTTTTTCCCTTTTATCACAGAGATTGTGCATGTTCATAAACAACAGAAGTGCATATACACACATTCTGTGTGCATTTCAGAAGATGAGGACGTGGCACTACAACAAAGCAGTGGGTTACAGCACGCAGACTGTGTTAATTGAGCCCATCACTACTCTGAGACCAACCTCCATGACATTTCTCTCTTTTTAGACACATTTCAAACCTATCTTTGTGCTTTTTGTAAATGTACCCTATAACACTGTCCTAACCAGACTTCCAGCAATAAGTAATTTGTCAGTCCTAACTGAGTGTGGCATTGCTGCACGACATGACAACCACAGCCAATCATATTTTACTGTTTTATATAACTTTTATAATTGTGTTTTAAGTATTTAGATTTTTTGTAAGACTCAATCACGATGCTGCCATATGATAAGATATATAAATTACCAAAAAAGTTTGGCTTCGGTAAAATTAATTAATGCTTTTGAAAGACGTCTCTTATGCTCACAAGGCTGCATTTATTTGATCAAAATATGGTAACAACAGCAATATTGTGAGATATTATGACAATTTAAAATGTCTGTTTTCTATCGTAATATATTTTAAAATATTATTTATTTCTGCCATGGCAAAGCTGAATCTTCAGCATCATTAATCCAGTCTTCGGAGTCACATGATCCTTCAGAAATCATTCTAATATGCTAATTTGCTGCTCAAGATGCATTTCTCATTTTTATCAATGTTGAAAACATTTAGGCTGCTTAATATTTTTTTTTGTAGATGAATAGAGCTTTCACAAGAACAGCAAGTTGTAACAATTTGAAAATCTTTACCATCACTTTTGATCAATTTAATGTGTTTAATGCATAGATAGATAGATAAATACAGGTAGATGATTGACAGCTAGATAGTCAGCAGATAGCAGGGTGCCGTAATGCCAAAATGCACATAAAATGTAAACATGAGGACAAATTAGGCTTTTTTGTATCATATTTAATCATAATTCACTAAAAATGTTAAAAACAGAGAATGTTTACAGTCCAAAGATCAAGGCTGTTCATATTGATACAAGGAGGATCTAAAACTTTGGTCCAGGTAGATATGTTGGTCTGTATAATTTTTTAGCTCTTCCTAACCGTCCAATGCGTTGGTAATATATATGATCTCTTCAATTTTTATTTGCATAATTAAAAAATATATATTTTTTCTCCATCAGTTCGGTGTATGTGAGGTGATGGACTGATATGAACTGGAGGAGAGAGCTGGTAATGATGCTCCCGCTGAGTGCCTGGACAAGGTCCACCCCGCCCCCAACTCCTACCTCACTTTTGCCTGCATCCTGGTGTTGATTTACTTATTATGGGCTCTTTCTCCTTCATTCCACTGTCATTGAATCCTGATTAGATCAAGCTTGGATCGCTTTGGACAGTTAGCATCGATGAGTCCATCTATCACGTGATGTCCATTAGCTGTGGATCGCTACAGCCATCTATTGCCTGAGGTTCTAACACCCATGACCCTCATCTCCTTGACCTCTTCCCTCTCGCATTCCGCCTCTCTCAGACGTTGTCAGTGTATCTTTCTAACCCCCCCCCACTCACTCACCCACCCACCCCCTACAATCTGTGGCAAGCAAAGTCAAAACCGCAGCTCCAGGGGAGTAAAACCTCTTCTTCTCTCTCTCCCCTTCTTTTTTTCCACTGTCTTTTATCGGCGACGACTGAGTGGCAGCCAATCATGGGCTCAATCCCGCTGCCACAATCTCCCTGACACTCAAAAAGAGAAAGAGAGAGGGAGAAATGTGTGTGAAAGGAAAAATAATACACAGGCAGATCAAAAAGGAGACATAATGCAGGTAAAAAGAGAAGTAGAAATCAAAAAGCGTTTAAGACAAAGGGACTAGAATAAAAAGAGAGAGCAGTCAGACATCTGTCTCTCTCTCTGTCTCTCTCTGTCTCTCTCTCTGACACAGTAAGCTTCAGGACAGTGTTCAGTCTTGCAGCGAAAACTGACAGGGAAGGTGACAAGCGTGGAGCTTATGCTAAGGAGATATAGAAGTGTGTCGAAAACACAGCAGAAAACAATGGAGTATAGGTAAAACTCTCTCACTCTCTCTGTGTGTGTGTGTGTCTCTTTCTCTCTCTCTCTCTATCTCTCATCTGTCCCTCCCTCTCCAGCTCTGTTGCTCTTGTGCTCTCTCGGTCCCCCACTTTAGCTCAGACGGATGAAGAGAGTCCGGAAAGAGAGCAGCCATGTACATAATTTTCTCTCTCGCTTGCTAAATCTAAAGGTTATCATTAAGACAGATGTGCCCTGCAGAGTGGTTGCCGTGGAGATCATTTTACACTGGAGGAACTATTTGATTAAAGAGTGGCTAAGACGGATTTAAAGCAACTGAGAAAGACGTGGCAAAAGCAAAAAGAGTGTGAGTAGACGGCTGATTCGTTTCTTTTGCAGGTGATTTCAGAAAATGCGTCTAGGACCCAAAGAGAGGGTTTGGTCTCTTTTGTGAATATTTCACTGCACATTAATTTTCAAGGACCTACTGAATGGGATTTATCAAGTTTCAGTAAAGTGAGTTTATATTGTGAGGAATTGAGAGGGAATTCCTGGCTAGAAACTGTTTGAACTGTTTCTCGTGCTGTTGAATTTAATCTCTAGACATTTGAAGTCACGGTTACCTGTGAGAAGTCAGATTTAGAGGTGCGTTGTTTTCTACTTTTAAATTATTTTTAATATTTTTGCCAATATGGAGGTAAAGTTTGTTGTTTAAGATCAAATGGAGAATTATTGTTGGTTATGATTAAATAACTTTGATTAAAACTGTTTTGCTACAACCATATAAGATTGTTCTAGGTGCATATAACATAAATATTATAAATTTAGACCGCAAACGATGTGTCTAAAAACTTCAAATGGGCTGGCAGAGCTGCTCTGCGGTAATTTTATTTGACAAACGCTCTGTTATGAATCCTGCAATTATACAAATGCTTTTGCTTGATTCTGATAAGCAGATTATTGCCTTGACCTGTGTGTCATCTGGCAGCTATTTTACTGGCTGCCTCAGTTTGAAGATAAACGATGTACGTGAGTGTGTGTGAGTGTGCGTGTGTGTGCAGGAGAAAGAGAGAGAGACAAGCAGGAATATTTCATAAATATGTATTGCATTTGGACACAGCACGAGTCTACCCTGCTGCTCATGCCTAATCACTCACTACCTCTCACTGTTTCTTTCACACACACATACACACACACACACACACACACACACACACACACACACACACACTCACACACGCATGCACACACACACACACACACACACACACACACACACATAAACACTAGGATATGCTACTTCTAAATACAGCCGATCAACTGGATCTTGGTATCGGAAGCCATTAGTGAGTGTTAATTATTGTCCAATACAAATTAACCTCTAAAGTGCTCGTTGCATTTCTGCTTTCTAAATTAGGCACACTAATAGCATCTCTTTCAATGCAAAACGATTCACTTGGAAACTCGCACAAAAGCCTGTGAATAGAAGATCTGTCACTGACAGCACACACATTTAGGAGACGATTGTCTAGAGAGAGACATTTACAGGCTTATGAAACACTTTTTGTTTCTGTTTTATACAGATTCTTCTTCTGGAAACATAATCTATATGCAAGAATAAATCACATAAAATCTCAATATTTTCTTAAATTGAATGCAAAAGGAGACCTTTCCTAAAGTCTCCTGGTTTCCACATTTTTTCCCAGTTGAGAAAAACAACTTCCAAAGGAGATCATTATGATATCTCATCAATGTCTCAAACTTTGCTCATATTTGTGATATTCCAAGGTCAAATTTCAATATGAATATGGATCTGAAATTCTGAGCTACTATATTTATGATAATTGTATAGCTCTATATTTTGCCTGCATGTCAATACATAAAACATAAAACTGAGAATCTCCTGAGCACATTTAGGAAAGAACATTAATTTGGGAATCAAGCTTTATTTCTGATTATGATATATATACAGTCAGAAATAAAACTTGATTCATTGGTATTGGATTAATTGAATTGGTATTGGTTTGGTATTATATATATTAAAATCTCTCTCTCTCTCTCTCTCTCTCTCTCTCTCTATATATATATATATATATATATCACTTTCTAAATAAAAACTGTCCTGCAATAACATCAAATTTATATTAGCCTGAAAATGAACGTAAACAGCCAATCAGAATCCAATTCCTATGTCATGCCTTCAGTGAAAATCTATTAGCATATATTTTCAGCATTTTAGGCTGAAGACACATGATACACACAGGGAAACCGAGCGAGACACAGATAGAGAACTTCAGTGTTATCTGAGAGAGAGTTAGCTCCACCAAGTGGCTCAAAATTCAGTGCTTAGCAGCAATGAAGCCCAGTCTTCATCATGGTTGATCTTCAATCATTTTAAACACTCTCATCCAGATTCCACAAGCCCCAGCCCTAAATTTCAACTGAAGGAAGGCCTCTGCTACAGTAAATGTTACAAAAAACAAACTCTAAGTCCATCTTTATCTGACCGTGGCAGAGAGTTTGATGCCCTGCGAATAATCTGGACAGACCGAGAGGCTGCTTCGATTGTCAGAAATCAGACAGGCCCCGGGCAATATTTCAATCATTTAGAGAGTATGCAGTCTATATATTATTAAGCGATTTGTTCGTCCTGTTTCCAGAAGTGAAGTTCTCCTGTCAAACTTATAACCTGAATGAAGTCTCCATCCTTTAACGCTTGAGATGTCAAGGTCACGAAAACGAGAAGCGGCAAAAAACTTTCCCCAGCCATAATAAGCACGACAAATGCACAGACACAAGACTCCGTATCCCACATATGGCTCCAGACATCCATCAGAACACAGTCAGGTGTGGACAGACATAACCCATTTTCCCTAAATGATCCGTGTCTGATATGGTCTTAGAGGGAATATACTGAGGAGAAAAAGAGGAGTGTGTTTGGAGGCAGATAGCATGAGTGAACGAAGCTGTGTTGAACTCTGGCAGATGTATTCCCCAAAGACAACGCTGCCCCAGACTGCTTTTATAAACCTCGGGAGAAATATAGCAGTACCTTGCAGACAGGACTACGGCAATTACATAGAAAGTCTTCGGCAGGTCTGTGTTCACCAGAGCGGTCTGATCCTGCAGACTTGAGCTGTATATCACTGTCAATCAAGTCTGCAAATTACAAAACTTGAACTTTGTCGTCCGTTTGCAAAATGCCGCTCACAAAATGTTTTCAGTGTCACACCGATCAACGGGGTCAGACGTGTTGTTTTTTTCCAGTAGGACAACTCACCGTCCTCTCTGCCAATTAATTCATAATTATGTAGCATTACCTCATTATGCCTTGACTAGCATGTCTACATACGCCTAAATTCACATATACACACTAATTAGATGCTCTTAATAGGACAAGTGAGAAGATTCTTCCTCCTCGCTCCACTCCCTCACACTTCCTCCGTTCCTCCCCCCTATGGTATCGTGGATCCTCCCTTACTGCCGCACATAAACAAGTTTTTAATGCACTAATCAAAGTGAGATAGTTAAGTGACAGCCCTAAACATCTGGCAAGATAGCTTTTCTTTGTTGTATAGTAGCAGGCGAAATAAAAATAATAAAAAAAAGATTTGCTTAATAGGCATGCTGTAGCAAAGATTAATATCCAGAATGCTATTAAAACCTCAAGGACAGCCTTGAATGATAATTAGAAAATGCAATCATAAGAATCACCACACAAAAATTGGTGCACACAATTTTTGTATTTTTTTTTCTTCTCCAGAACGTTCTTGACATTGCAGTGGAAAGGCTAAGAGTGCATGATAACAATAGTTTTTTTTTAAATATATATATATATATATTATATATCTGGGTTTCTGGCACCCTGTGAGTCCAGCAGTCATTATAGAAACACAAATCTCCTGTCTGGACCTTTTCACAAGCTACATCCTCTCACATCTGTAGTGTTAACATCTTCCCAATTGAGCTGGAAATATACAGCGTCTCTCTCTCCATTATTATGTTGTGAAAACTTGCAAAAATCTTGTACAGCGTGTGAACTCAAATCGCCATGCTTAATGAAAACAAAAGCACCCTGAGGAGGAGAACGCCAATTCTTAAACAATGCTCATGAACAATCAGAACCACAAATTGTTTGTTACTTTAGCATACGCAACAAATATACAGTATGTGTGGATACGTTTTTTGATGTCTTAAATCTCTCACTTCTCAGGGGTTTTTTTGGTCTCAAGTTGTAATCTCAACATTTTAAACTGTGCTTGGATTTTGCAATAAAACACATTTCTTCAGAAATCAAAATATCTGAGCTATGCTGTCTACATTTCTCATTTCTTTATTCTATTACTTCATGTTAACACCACATTTGTGGCTAACAAAAAAAAATGAAAAAAAGAAGTGTACTGGGGCATAACTCTCTTGAGAACTCCATAAAAACCACAACATTTGAACATCAGTGGAAAATCAGTTTGTAGACAGCATTCATGAACAATTTGAACCAGAAATGTTTAGAAGAGATCTCATTTTTTTTAAAACTGTGCTCAGATTAGTCAATATACCAAAGTTTGCTAAATAAATAAACAAAAATGACATCACATTATTCTAAAAGCTATGCTTTTGAAAAAAATATGATAGCTATGCTATCTACATTTTATTGTATAGCTCACCTACTGTATTCAATAATTGTCTACTTAGTGGCTGTTAATTTCTTTTATGAGATTTAAGGAAAATCCATCTGAAACATAACTGAGAACTCTATTAAAGAAGAATGTCAATTCTTAAACAGCATTTATGGATTGGAGGATTGGATTTTGAATTGGAGCCAAAATTAAGTTTAGCAGACTTTAGGAAACTTTGAAAATACATACCAAAAATACAATGATACAAATCTCTTACTTCTCAGAAATTTTTTTTTCATAGGTAAAAAGTTAAGATACCAAATTCTGCAATAGACAAAATTATCTGTGCTGATTTCCACACACATTTGATATCTCTATTATTGTACTGTATGTGCACAGTTGTCTATTTGTGGCTATTTATTTCTTCTGTGGGATCCTAGGAGAACCATACAATACAAATAAATGATACTTGAATGAAACATAACTGACAATTCTATTAAATCTCCTGAGCTAAAGTGAGCAACCGTAGACAGCATTCATTGATTGGAACCACAATTCATTTTAACAGACTGCAGGAAAATACATAAGATAAATATATAAATAATAAGCATATAAAAGGATAAAAATCTCCTGCTTCTCAGATTTTATTTTTCTCCCGAGGAAATGTTAAGTCTGCAATGGGCTACATTATATGTGCTGCTATCCACATTTATTTTATAGCTCTGTACATTTACTCAATGTGAGCAATTTGTGGCTATCTTTATTTCTCCTAAGCAATTTTAGGAGAAACATCTAAGATAAAATTGGTAGTTATATGACACATCACTGAGAACTCTATTAAATCATGAAAGAGCAAACTCTGAGAGGGGAGCACCAGCTTAATCTTTTTTTTGAAAGAGCGTGCAATAAACATGCATGAATCAGAACTAATTTTTATGACTCTTTTGTCCACGCTCGCCCTTGAGCTAAGACCATAGATGGAAAACGTGTCATAGAAACATTAAATCAATCAAGTCGGTCGTGGACCATGACACTGACAGATGGATATTTCTCTGGATCTGTCCGTCAAGGTCACGCCAGAGACTTGAACAGGTTTTTCTATGCCAGCTGCTGATTGCATGCTCCTGAATGATCAGAACGACCCTTACTCCAAAATTAAATGTGGCCGGCGCTAGACACAGACCGTCTCAGTTCGTGCCAATGTGTGATTCATACCGGATGTGAAAGACTCTTGTGAAAATAAAAATCATGATTAATTCATAATGACCTTCTGAATGTCAAAGTTCTGCCCTACTAGCTAACCCTGGACTGCATTGAAACGTACAGTATGTCTGAATGGAAGATTGGCCACAAAAGACCTCCATTGCTGGGGCTGACAAAATTCATTACTCGCATTGGCAAAGCCAGTGATTCCACAAATTAGAGTAGTCTGCACACTTTCAAACGCTGCCTAGTGAATAATTCCTAACTTCATCCATATCTCATTAAGTAAATTATTTGATTTGTATTCACAAGACAGTGTTCATTTAAATGCTTAACTTCAGTCACATCAAATAGAACCAGAGCCCTAATTTGCTCTTAGACAAAGAAAGGATTCGCTTTGTTCGCTGAGATGGCCTTGCTGACACCGTGTGTGTTTTATTTCTTTCTTCCCCCTTTCCCAAGCCTCCCCTTCTTTTCTTTTCTTTGATTCAGATCGTTAAACAAAAACGCCACAACATTATGAATCTGCTCCTCGTTTGCTCACGAGACCCCTGGAGACGTTTGCCGTAATGAATGCCTGTCAGACTAACTTGGCTCCTTGGCCTTTTCCTGCAGACTTCTGGAAAATGGGCTTTCGTCAAATGAGGGAAGAAAGATTTATTAGGATTAACTTCCAAAAGCCAATAAATTATGCATACATCCTCCAAATTACCTATCAGAACTAGTCCTGGAGGAGAGACTGTTGAGCAGCTGCCTTTGCTTCTTTTATGCTAGTTTGTGTTATAAAAGTGGAAGTCCTCAGCATTTTGAGTTTGCTATCGACTTTTTGGCCATTGCTGCATTTTGGGGGTAACCACAAATCTACAGTATGCAGAGTGAGGAAAGTAAATGTTTAGAGACGTTCAGGCTCATGAAGTTTTAATCAATTAGAGACCACCGAGAGACTGCTGTGTGCTAAAATTTGAGTCACTTAATCCTTTGCGATCAATCAATATTAACGATTCGTTTTCTAGTTAGCCAACACGATTTTAGTCAGCTAACACAAATTTACAGAGTGCCGTTGTCGTCTGTGGCACTCTGCTCTGAGGTAATTTAGCAAACACGTAGCTTTCTGCTGATATTGTGTTGAAATGATTTCTTAATGATCTTTTTCTATTCGTCACAGGCCCCAAGAAGACATAATTTAGGAGAATTAAGGATAAGATGCCCCATTTTTTCGCTCCTACCATTCAGCAGTATCTTCAACGCAGAGCTCTGTTTCTTAATTGATTCCTTATCAAGGACTCTCCAGGAGTGATCGGATACAATGATAATCAATCAACTTACTTTCCTCCTGTTGTTCTGCTTGCTGGGATGGAGCGGTGCACTGATCTGGCCTGTGCCTGGAATTAGCACGTCGGATCGGGATGGACAGACTCTACACCGCACTAAACGAGGATGGATGTGGAATAGTTTCTTTCTCTTAGAGGAGTGGACGGGAACTGGAAAGCAGTATGTTGGAAAGGTAAGGGCTGGTACTCTTGAAAAAAGTTTCTTTCTTTCCTTGTTTTTTTTTTACAGTAACTGTAAGAAAGTGCATGTCCTCATCTTTTTGTACAGTTCAAAGTTTTTCAAACATTACATACTTTCAGAGTGAACCATGCATAAGTGCAGATTGTTTTTTTTACCCCTTACCCCTTACCCCTTACACAGTTGTTCGGACATAGATCCATGATTATAATACCATGGTATTCTTTCAAATACCTTGCAGTTAGGGTACAAATACATACAGATGAGTATGTAATAAAATAGTGCCATGAAATATATCAAAATAGCATGCTTTTCCATCTATATCCATCTTTTTTTAAGGGCTATTTTACATTTTTAGCACAACAAAAATGTGCATATAAAAAGTGCATTCCAAGACTTGTGGAAGTTCCTTCTAGTAGGTCTTGGGTTCGATTCCAAGGGAATGCATGGACTGATAAAATATATACATTTAATGCAATGGATTAGAGCATTTGCGAAATGTATAAATGGGAATCAAACCTATGACCATGTGGTTGCTAGCATCATGCTCTACCAGTGAGCTACTGTACAGTATAATATGAGCAATTACAGTCATTTTGACCATTAACACACAACACAAACAAGCACAAGGGTCAGTTACAAACATGAATCACAAACATCAAATGAACCCATACCTAACGGATAATGCTTTCAGCATGATAGCTAATGATGTATTAGAACAAAATCAATGTGAATGTAGGCTATTAGAATGAATCGATGTGTGGGATACAAAGTGCCATAATAACCCTCTTTATATTAATGACCACATCCTGATGTTCCAAAACTGATATGCTTGTGTGGGTTTAATTCAAAGGCTTACATTATAACCGTGACCTGATGATAACAGCTGATGTCCCGGCTTTCAACATGCACGAATCATGCATGTTTTTAGCCAAGATCAAGTCAGGACACAAATCAGTTGAGAGACAAACCTCTATGTGCCATTTGCTGAAAGGTGGGCCTACCAGTACAATATGATTCGGTTCAAATAAAAAAAGCATAAAGATCAGAGCGGAGCACTTGTCAAGCCACTGGCGTCAGATGGCAGAGACAGCAGCAGTTACACCCCCGGTGCATGCGAGAAGGGGGTCGGCCAATTTTATGTCAGAAGCTTTCATCATTGCATTCATCTTCTAAATGTAAACGTGTGATAGGTTTGGGGTGGAGAGAGGAGTGGTAGCACAGACAGATCGAAATCTCTTCCTCTTATGGTGCAGGGTTGTTTTTGTGGGGAATAATGCAAGAAAAGAAACGTGTGCAACAGAAAGGCGAGCAGGCAAGAGTGGGTAAGGAGAAAACAATAAATCAATCAAAAACTAGAATGAGATTCCGCCCTCATAGCATTGCATTTTACGTGACAAGGCAACAAAACAGCGCTGACTGCGATGAGTCCGTCGGTTGAGGAAGTGTCAGACTCAGCAGTGTCCTGGCCTCCTTCCCAGAGCTTTGATGCTTCTCTCTTTTCTCCTTCTATTGCTCCCTCTTTTTCTGGCTGCTGTGTTTCTCTGGCATGACAGCAATCACATGCTTTTGGCCCGCTTCTCTTCTACCGTCCACTCTCGTTCCCAATTAAAGTGCTAGAAAGACACAGGGTTCCCATAAATACTGTAGGAGGGCAAGGGAGAACGAAACACCCACATGCTGGTTCGGGGAGACCACTGTGGAGCAACTATTCCATCCATTTCCCCCCATTTCTTACTAGTGTGTGTGTGGGTGACGTGCGAGAACTTGCGTAGCCCAATAGACGGGTACTTAGAGCCCCAGCGAGAAGCCATCAAAGCCATTGATGGTTCTCCTCATAAAGATAATTCAGCAACCTTTACAGAGCCTTGTGGGATGCCATATTTATGTCTATCAAAGCAAGGCCTCCACTGGCCCCTGACATAGACAAGCCCTAAAAGAGGATTTATTTTCCAGTGTGGAGCCAGAAATAATCCATAAAATGGGAAGAATATTTCCAATAAAACAACTGTGCTCTCACCGCTTGCTTCATGGCTCTTTTTCTACTGTGTAGTCTATAGGCATTCACAAATTATATCTATATCGTACAGCTAAACTGTGCTTTCGATTAATAAGCTACAGTTTGAAGCAGTTCAACAGTCAAGCTAATAATTATAGTAGTTCAACAGTCAAGCTAGTAATAATTATATTATTCATAAAAAAAAAAAAAACTTAGTTCATAATAGTTGAATCAGTTAATTTTAATGAATGGTCTGAATTAAACGATTACCTAACATTAATCAGTGCTTCATAAAAAAAGATAGTAGTTTTAGGAGGATGTGTTTGATTATTAGCTCAATCTCATTAAATTTGACAAAAAAAAATATATTTTGCTTTGGTAAATCACTACCCATTGGAAAATAACTCGTGTGAAATCTAATGAATGTTGTAATGTCAAAACTTGTAGTTAGTTGCAGATACTAGGATGTTTGAAACCCTAAAAGTCTAAAATACTCCCATCACTGCAACAGGGATGAATATAAAAGTGAGAAATTGAATATTGGCACTTATGTTCTACAAAGCAAATACACTATAATTTATAATTCAGTTAGTCTATGATATGTGAAAACAGCTTCTGCTTTGAATTAATATGAAGCCGCATCAGGCAGAAATGCAAAACAAACAGGATTAAAGAGACAGTTTTCTAAATGTAATTTTGTGATGACTCAAGCTTAAAACCACTGGGAAATCTTTCAAATTTTAACAGCACACACCACTATATTTATAAAAAACTCACAATCCAGAAACATCTTACTGGCCATCCACTGGTCATTATAACTGCTCAGGTGCCGTGGCCCAGTTTTTCTTTTTTAATAAATCTGCAAAAATGTCAACAATTCTGTGTTTTTCTGTCAATATGGGGTGCTGTGTGTACATTAATGAGGAAAAAAAATGAACTTAAATGATTTTAGCAAATGGCTGCAATATAACAAAGAGTGAAAAATATAAAGGAGTCTGAATACTTTCCGTACCCACTATATATATATATAATACAAATTGATAAAAAAAAAAAGAATGCCATAATCTTGATCATTTTTGCAAGCACTAATAATGGAAAGTTACAGAATGATGGCTCACATTTGAATGTTTAAATATTTAGCACATGTTCATTAGGACTTGTCAGAATTATAAACTCATCTGAGCATGGAGAACCACATCATGAAGTGATAGAGGGGAACCTCATGTTAATATAACAGTTGTAGCACTACTGCAAGTGTCAACTAATTATGTGATGTAGAACAGCAATTGTAAATATTAAATGTTAACTGAGATAACAAATGTATATTCAGAGTATATATCAGAGGCATCGCTGCACCTAGGCTGAAGATCTTTTCTGAATGTAATTTTTTGCAAGTTAAAAAGGTTAGAAGCTATGTGTGGGCAATTAACAGAAAAGGTACAATAAAAGAATCCTTTAAAAAAAAAAAAACAACAGTCATACCAAACATTCAGAACATTTGTAAAAAAAAAAAACACACTAAACATTGATGTTGCATTCGAACAAGTAGATAGTTGTAGATACTTCTCTGAGTAGATACTTCTTTGAGTAAGTACTTTGCAACAATAAATATTATGTTCTATATCTTATGAATGTGTGTAGTAATAATGTAATATGGACGTACTACATTGCCATTCACAAATTTTATCCCGTGGCTTCATGGGATAGTCCATTGGATGCACACTTCAGACTCTCCCTGGAAGTAGTATGTCACCTGGATATTTTTGACTAATGTTTTATAAATACTGTGAATCAGATATGCCACTCTTTTTGCCTACTATATAGTAGGGAAGTATCTTTCTAAAATATATTATAATGCATATAAATATATGTAAAATATATTATAGTGCATATAAATATAAATATGTATATGCACTTACTGCACTTATACTGCAATTATACTGCAATTTAATTTTTTATTCATAATAAAACTATATTTAATAATTAGTTGTATTTTGTCCAAATTTGAACATCTATTTAATTTTTTTATTTTATTTAAACTTGCAACTTGTCATTATTTAATTAACATACGATTGCACCAATATCTGTGTAACACCATAGTTAATAATAATAATAATAATAATAATAATAATAATAATAATAATAATTATTATTATTATTATTATTATTATTATTAATACTGGTACAGGTACATGTATTAATAGTATTAAAACATCAATGGCATCATTGATAGTCAAACTAAACACTGGAAATATAAACCCTGGAAGTAGTATGTCACCTGGATATTTTTGACTAATGTTTTATAAATACTGTGAATCAGATATGCCACTCTTTTTGCCTACTATATAGTAGGGAAGTATCTTTCTAAAATATATTATAATGCATATAAATATATGTAAAATATATTATAGTGCATATAAATATAAATATGTATATGCACTTACTGCACTTATACTGCAATTATACTGCAATTTAATTTTTTATTCATAATAAAACTATATTTAATAATTAGTTGTATTTATTTTGTCCAAATTTGAACATCTATTTAATTTTTTTTTTTTTATTTAAACTTGCAACTTGTCATTATTTAATTAACATACGATTGCACCAATATCTGTGTAACACCATAGTTAATAATAATAATAATAATAATAATAATAATAATAATAATAATAATTATTATTATTATTATTATTATTATTATTAATACTGGTACAGGTACATGTATTAATAGTATTAAAACATCAATGGCATCATTGATAGTCAAACTAAACAATGGAAATATAAACAGTTTTCAATTAATTATGCATTAATGGCTTTGCATTATGATACTGCTCTAATGGGCAAACTCGTTCTCATTATATGTCTAGCAATGGTTCTGATGTATATTATAATACCTCCAATTAAATACTCTGTATACTAATTAACCACACAAAAAAAATAATAAATAAAGAAGAAAATAAATACCCAATTCACATGGTCATGTGATAAAAAGC